TGAGTACAGTTGTTTGGGTACATGTGATCCTCTCACTTCAACCCCGTATCCAGAACGTTGTCTCCTTGGGGGTATGCTGAAAGGGAGGAAAACAAGCAAGGATATCTCCTCGCCTCATTGGTTAGAGACCTCAAGTACACATGCATTTGTATACACAGATCACATGTGACAGTATGGTCAGGTTTTTAGAATAATTTCAACACTCAAGCACAAGTTTATATAATTTCACAACTTCTGGCTGAAGTGGAATTTACTCTTAATTTTCCCAGTCTGAGTACTAACTTCGGGGAACGTTTCTGACCAACATGCGTCCAGTGCCACCTTGAAGTTGTTAACATTGGCGCAGTTGACCACTTCTGCAGGTAACCTGTTCCACATAGGTATGACGTCGTGTGCGAAGAAGTTGGCCCGTGCTTCTAGCCTGGCGTGGTTCTTTTGGAGCTTATAGCCATGGTCTCTCGTGTTTTTGAGCACGAGAAATCGTAAACAAGTCATCTAGGCTGAGTCCCGATAGACCTCTTTCAATTTTAAAAGTCTCTATCAGATCTCCCCTCGCTCGTCTACGCTCCAGCGAAATGAGATTTAGAACCCGTAACCGCTGCTCATAGCTCTTCCCCTTTTTCCCAGTCACCATTCGGGTGGCTAGGTGTTGCGCTCGCTTTAAGCACGCTACATCCCTCCTGTAATACGGTGCCCATGCCTGCACACAATATTCCATGTGTGGACGCACAATGAATTTATAATATGGGAGGAAAACCTCAGGCCTTCTGAATGTCCCTGTGGCACACAACCTGAACAGGTGCCAACTAGTCTGATTAGCAGCCTTGGAACACTGAATTGAGGGTTCAAAATCTGGGGTCATAAGAACCCATAGATCTTACTACTGTTTTAATCCTTTTTTCACTCCCACTTAAACGTCTTGACATACCATCAGACCATAATAGTTCTTAGACTGGCATTCCCGACTGCTTTGGACTGGTGCATTTCATGCTGAATTTTTTGAAAATCCTTTCGAACCCATAATGATTTATGGTGAAATAGCTTTATCTGTGTGTTGCTCTT